ATATAGTACATATATATATAGTATATATTTTTGTCTCCTTTGTTTGATTGGATTCTCTTAGTCTACTTTCAGGATTTGTGTGAAAATCTAATTATGTTTTGTATATATTTATGCAGAAATATAGAATATTCTAAAGTGTTCACAAACTTTCAAGCAGCACTGTATAATATGTAAACAAAAACTTTTATTTTGGACGCGATTAATCACGATTAATCGTTTGACAGCACTGATATATATATTAATGTTATTTATATTTATTTACTTATAACTAATTACTAATTTTATTGCAGCTTTAGTTATTTTTAGATGTTTAGATGTTTCCTTGGCAACTAGCTGACATAAAATAAGTAAAATAAATTTTTTATGGTTTTAAATTAACTATAATAACATTTTTCATCATTGGTTTCAGTAAGCAGTTATGCACCAATTAGCACAATAATATAGAGATCCTTGGTGTCCTTTTTAACAAGCAGATTAGTTGCTTCATTAAGAGCCTTTCAGCTCAGATCTGCTGCTAAATTGAAAGTTTATTTTACGAAAGGACTTGGAAACAATCCCGGCTTGATTACTGTAACTATATGTATCCAGGCCTGTCTCAATCACATCTCCAGATGGTTCATCACACGCCAGTGAGACTTATAGTTGAAATCAAAAATAAGAGATCACATCTTCCTTATTAGAATCCAATTAGCTATTACCAATACAATCACAATTCTGCTTTTAGTTACAAAAGCGGCCCAGCGTGGTATTTTTCCACAGTATATTTGTAAACTCCTTCATCCATACTCTGCCCCAAGGTCATGCAATCAACTTCCTCCTGTCCCGCTCTCGCTGTAAGGGAGATTTCTCCGTTTTGGAACGGTTTCCCAGCACACATTAGATCCTCCTCCTCCACTGGCACTTTTAAATCCAGCTTAAAGGTCCATTTTTATTCCTTAGCTCTTGAGTCTGTTTTTTTTTTTATGGGTTTCTTTTTATTCTATTATTTGTATTTTATCAGACTTGACATGAAAATCCCTCTCTTCGTGACAGCCTGACTTTTATATCCTGCGATTAAAATATAATGGTCTGTGAAAATGTATATTTAAGTGTTTGGTGATATTAAAATGTATAGAAACGATCAGCCAAAACATTAACCTGAAAAGAAAAAGCTACAATAATCTTGACAGGAGTTTAATCTTGCTACAAAATTTTTGCAGCAGCCTCGCTTGATTTTAAATCTAATATAGTAAACGGTTGTCATACAAACCGAAATGGCACACAAAGTCTTCAATAATCTCTCCCCAAAGTGCTTATTCACTTTGGCGACAGCAATGTAAATCACTAGATTAACCACAAAATACTGTTCCTTGTATTCCATCTGCTTCAGCCTCATCTCCACCCTCCCCTCTGAGTCTCGGTATAGGATGGAGAAACTCCCGCCTTCAAAATCATATGATACCGTGTCCTGACTTGCTTTTGTCATCACAACAGGAGCACTGACGCACCAAAAAGGCTGGTTGGCTTCATCCCATACAGTGAGGTTGATCATGCAACAGTCCTGGAGACAGCAATTAGACCATGAAAACTTCCTAATATTAGTATTAAGTGCTGTGAATAAGAAAGTGAGGATGACTGGACCAGTGTGGTGCTTCTGTACCTTGATAGTTCCATGTAAAGCTTCAGTCCTCCAAGGCAAGCTGACGTCTCCAACCAGATGAGTATTTGGGGATCTGCTATTCTCACTGATCACTTCCAGTGGAAAATAACCATCAGAAATCTGATCTGGAGAGTAAAATAAAATAAAAAATAAAATAAAAAGAGATGCACTTCGGTACTTTTTGGTTGTCTACCAAAGATGAGATATAATGAGCCCAAAAATAATTAAGACACTAAATAAAATAGTTTTTTATCAGTGGCCCTGTCCCTTGTATAAAAAACCTATTTTTACAATTTCCATTTTATTTTTTATTTTTTATTTCAAAACATCTTTAATCAAAAAGTGGTTTTCAGGGCTGTATGAAGTAAATCAGAAAATATCCAAATACCTTTGGTCATATTTTGAATAATACACATTTGTTCGAAAGGGGTCACTACGTTTTTTTCTTATTTTTATGTTTTTGAAAGAAGTCTCTTCTGTTCACCAAAACTGCATTTATTTGATCAGCAATAAAAGTAAAAACAGTCATATTTTGAAATAGCATTACCATTTTAAATAACTATTTTCTATTTTAATACATTTTAAACAATTATTTATTCTTATGATGGCAAAGCTGAATTTTCAGCAGCCATTACTCCAGTCTTCAGTGTCACATTTTCTTTCAGAAATCATTCTAATATGCCGATTTGCCAAAAAAAAACAAAATAAAAAAATATTTATATATATTATATATATATATATTATATGAAATATTTGTAGAGACAAATGCTCAACTTGATGCTCAAATACACTATTTAAGGGTAAAAATGCTTAATTTTGCTTAAAGCAGGACAACACTCATTTTTTAGAATCTAGTGCCATCTACTGTCAACAATCTAGTACCATCAACTGTCGAGGAATCTTAGTGTAAAACTGTAACAACAGCTCATTCATGTACTTATAAGGTTATTATTTATTTTGTACTATAAATTGGATGTCAATTTTCAGAATGTAAACTATTAGTTTAATAGGGACTGATTTCAAAATCATTGTAAACTATTCAACTGTTAATTTGAACTCTTATTCTTATTACAGAGTGCACAATGTCTGCTTTTACCTCTTCTGCAAAACAGCTGGGAAAAGCGGTCAGACATGATGACTCTCACTGTATTGTGCAGTTCAACGTAAGCAGTGTATCCATGGAGACCGTACTCCGGGTCCACATCATCAAATAAAGCACTGACTCCAGCTGCTGGACATGGACTAGCGGTGTGAAAGAGGGATAAAGAAGAGAAAGAAAGAGATTAACTACAAAAGTGGGTGTCAAATTACCTTTTCACACTGAGGACTGTAGAGACAGTATGGCAGTAAAACAGACAGTGTAACAACTGATGAGTCAGAGCTGTACAGTGTTCAGCTTCACCAGAAGATGGAGTTATTACACCACCAAACTATACTGATGGTGATACATAACTGACATCTAGGTTCTGATATATTCAGACACATCTGCGATTAAAAAGAGAGAGAAAGAGAGCGATAAAGAGAAAAATAAACCAAAGGGATTAAAAAAATGAAATACATACTAAATTTTGGGAAGGGCTTTAACAGGGGACAGAGCAAATAGTCTTCTGTAAATGCAAAAAAATACAAAATGATAAGAGAAAATAAAGCAATACCTAATAGATGCATGAAGACTTCTTTCCACAAGTCTGTGATTGTGCAAGTTTACCATGACAAAAGCAATTCCCCATTGGTCCTGTATAAGAAGCACAGAATTAACAATTGTTGCTTTATTAATTAAATTGTATTATTTTTATATTATGAAGACCATTATTACCAATAATAATAATGATAATCATAATTATTATAATATACACACTACTATTCAAAAATGTAATGTTGGTCATATGTGTAATGCTTTTGAAAGAAGTCTGTTATCTATGCTCACTAAGGCTGCATTTATTCACACAAAAAATAAATAAATATTGTGAAATATTATTACAATTTAAAATTAGTGATTTTTTTTTATTTTTTTTTAATGAAATTTATTCCTATGAATTTTCAGGGTCATTACTCCAGTCTTCAGTGCTAATGATCCTTCAAAAATCATTCTAATATGCTGATTTGTAAGAAACATTTATCATTATTATTTTAAAAACATTTTGAAAATATTTTTTTTGATGAATAAAGCTCAAAAGAACAGCATTTATATGAAATAGATATTTTTTGTAAAAATGGAAAAGTCTTAATTTAGTGTTTTAATCAATTAATGCATGATTGCTGATTAAAAGTATTAATGTATTTCCAAAAAAATATTCGCGTTCGCATGCCGGCACTGTACCCGCGTGCTCGCTCTCCCCGCTGTGCTTTGATCTGCCGCAGAAGGGCAGTGAGCTGCGCACTCACTGAGACGGAATGCTCAGCGATCAGGCATGAGTGATTTAACGCCGGCAAGTCCCCGCATGCATCACTCTCCACGCAGCCCTTTGATCCGCCAGTGTGTTTACATGTGAGGATCGGAGCAGAACGCTGTCACCAATGATTCAATATCGTTGACAGCTTCGTATTTGAATGCGCCTCTCGCCTAGGCCACGCCCACGCTGAGGCTGCGCTCGCTGAGACAGATCGCTCTCACTATGAGAGTCCATGTCTCGCTCTGCTTTGCTCGCGGCTCGTCTTCTTCAATGAAGGCGGCCCCGCCCCTTCCCTCGTCCGCCACGAGCGGATCTGAGAGAATGCGCGCAGCATTTTTGATCTGCCTGAGTGTTTACACAAAGATCATCGGTACTCCTCTTCTAATGAGTGGTTTGGTCTTTTTAGGCGGATTAAAAGGGAATGCTGTCACTAATGATTATTATCACTGACAGCTTCAAATTGGACGCGTCTGGGCCACGCCCATGCTGAGGCAGCGCGCACGGGTACTGACTGCTCTCGCTATGAGAGCATTAAGTCTAGCGAACCTTTTTTTGAAAGCATTTTCAAAAGAGAGCAAAATTCCTTTTCTGAGTGTGGGGTCCCCATACGGCGACCAGCCGCTCGAATTAATCCAACCCCCTTGTCAGGCGGGCTGAGGCCTGGCAGGCCATCCCCGGAGTGCCAGACTGGGTTTTGGGGATAATAAAGCGAGGTTATTCACTGCAATTCGCTCAAGGACCCCCGCGATTCAGTGGCGTGGTTCCCACCTCGGTTAGAGCAAAGACGTGCACGTCCTGCGCTCTGAGGTGATGAATTTGCTGGTGATAGGAGCCGTAGAAACGGTTTCCCCAGCTCAACGCGAGTCAGGCTTCCGCAGCTGCTATTTTCCTCGTCCCCAAAAAGGATGGCAATGGTCGCCCATCCTCGATCTCAGGCACCTGAACCAAGCCCTCATGAAACGGCTGTTCAGGATGATTACATTAAAACAGATCCTCTCGCAAGTGTGCCCAGGGGACTGGTTCTTTTCGCTGGATCTGAAAGACGCCTACTTTCACATCCAGATAGCCCCCCACTGCAGACGATTCTTGAGATTCGCCTTCGAGGGAGCGGCATATCAATACACGGTCCTTGCCTTTGGACTGTCAAAGTGCTCCTCGCACTTTTACGAAGTGCATGGATGGGGCTCTTTCCCCACTGAGACAGATGGGAATCCGCATTTTGAATTACCTCAATGACTGGCTCATCTTGGCCCAGTCGGAGGATGAGCTACTATTTCACAGATCCTTCCTCCTCAGCCACTTAGAATGCCTGGGAATCAGGGTCAATTTTGCCAAGAGTGGTTTGTCATGGTTTGGTCATGCCCCCAGCCAACGGATCTCGTTCCTGGGAACGGTTCTCGACTTAGCCCAAATGAGGGCGGTAGTCGCGCCAGAACGTGCACTGGCTATTCAGCAGCTCGTGGCCTCATTCAAAGTTGGAGCCACTCGCCCTCTCAAGGCGTTTCAGAAGATGCTGGGCCTCATGGCCTCCGCGTCTCCGGTACTTCAGCTGGGCCTGCTTCGCATGCGGCCCCTTCAGTGCTGGCTGAAACGATGGAATGGGGCGTGCTCCAGGGAATGTTCTGCAGTGTGCCGGGCAGGTTGAACCAGGGAGCAGACATGCTATATCAGAGCAACATCCCCTCAGAAGAGTGGATGCTCCACCCACATACGGTTTAGAGAATCTGGGAGATCTTCGGCAAGGTAGAAATCGACCTCTTCGCCTCAGAAGACAACTCTCACTGCCCAATTTACGTTTTGAAGGACAAGGATGCGTTGGCCCACGACTGGCTCAACCTCCTCCTTTACGCTTTCCCCCGATCGCCCTGATCCTCACAGGTAATCAGGCAAATCCCCTCCTTTCGAGCCACTACAGTCCGTTGACCTTCGTCCCCTGACACTTAAGACTGCTTTGCTACTAGCATTAGCATTGTTAAAGCGTATGGGAGATCTGCAGGCGCTATCAGTGAGCCCCACCTGCCTCGAATTCAGGCCCGACGACTCTAAGGTCGTCCTGAAACCAAGGCACGGTTATGTACCTAAAGTGCTCTCTACTCCATTTAGAGCACAGGTAATAACTCTATCGGCACTTCCTCCTTCGGAGCAAGACCAAGAGTTGAACTTACTCTGTCCCGTCAGGGCGCTGAAAGTCTATGTTGAGCATTCCGCCCCGTTCAGGTGGTCGGATCAGCTATTTGTATGCTTCGGTGGCCGCACCAAGAGTTGTCCGGTTACGAAGCAGAGACTTTCCAAATGGATAACTGATGCTATTATGCTAGCATACTCTTCTTTGGCTCTGTCGTATGACAACCAGTGCTTGGCGTTTGCCTCCATGTACGTTCTTGGCCCTCAGTGAGTTCCGAGGTTGTACTGAATTATTTCGGGACGATCATACAAGGCTGGGCCGACGTCTCTGAGTTTAGCCCTACTGCCTTTTGCAGGGCTTCCCTGCAAAATATTTGGTCCCTCTGGGCCCCCTTGGGTGCTTAAGACAAGTTCAAGTATTAGTCGTTCCTCTAGCATAGCACGGCGGGATTGTACTGGTTCCCCAAAGCGTCTTAAACAGACGCAGTACGAGTGAAGTATCGATCTCCATTTAGGCGCGCTGCATTCTGATTGGTTCGGATAGCATACTGCGGGAGGTCGGGCGCAGAAAATCGTGCTATAAAGCGATTTAGAAATCACGCAAGCTCAAATCGCGATTTTATGACGATTTCGATTAATCGCACAGCCCTAATCTCAGGGAACCGAGGTTATGTTAGTAACAGAGTACGATATCATAATAAATTTAAAAAATCACGTGCAACAAGCAAAAAAACAAGCAAAACAAAAAAAAAAGACAAAAATACATAAATACATACAAACCAAAAAAAATAAAATAAGTGTCACAAAATGCACGTTTTCTCCACATACAAGGTGAACTCTAGGATTGGAAAATACCTTCCAGAATCCCAAAGTTACGCCCTGTCCAACATGCAGCATCTTGACAATCTTGTCTGAAACACACAATTCATGGTGTTCTCCTTGAAGCTTTATTTTGGACATAACTGATTTCCAGCCTGGCCTGAAAGACACAAGATCGAAGCAACTACATCACTCATTTAGTTTGGAGTAAAGCTGTACCTTTGTATTTTAGGCACCTACCACACCTGTAAGGAGCAGGACAATCGAGGGGCACCCGCAACACTCCGTGAAGCTCAAGGGAGGTGAGCTGGTTGAAAGGAGGCCAAGTGACAGCGCCCCAGAACACAAAAACAGCCGTACTGCTGAAGAAGGCATGAGACTGCTCAAAGGTGCTCCGCCGTCCTCTCCCATCAGTCACTGTGATCTCCCATGTAATGCACAGACTCCTGCCAGACACACATGACACAAACCACGACTGACACTTCTGCTCTCAGATCATTTAAGGGCAATGGCTTTTTTGTTGTTTTTTGAAGAAGTGGGGAATGCAATGGGGAATGATACATAAAATGCATTAAAAAAAAACACTAAGCTGATGAAAAAATAATGTTTAATCTGTATATTTATCTTGTTTTCCTGAAACATCCCTAAAGCAAGATACACTTCTTTAGTTGCAAAAAAAAATAATAATAATTTACAATGTTAAAATATTAAACTAAAAGGTAACATTGTTTTTCAGATACTACATTTTGAAGTAAGTTTATTATTCATTAGCATTTTCATATATATATATATATATATATATATATATATATATATATATATATATTACACACACACGTATATACATATATACACACATATACACATACAACACATATACGTTTATTATTAATTTGCATATATAAAGCAATACTCTAATAATATAAATGTTGCCAATGGGTTACAAAAAAAAAAGACCATTCCTAAAACAAGATAAACTTCTTTACTTGCAAAAATGCTACAATTCTGAAATAAGAAAACTAAAAGATAATGTTGTTTTCAGAGATATTTGTATTTAATAATGCAAGTTAATCAAATTAATGAATAAATAAATACATACATACATACATACATACATAAATTAAAATAAATACAAAACTATTTTTAAATGTGGAGAATACAAGGTAAAGATCACTAAAAAAAGGCTGCTAAAAATAATCTGTATTTGTATCTAGTTTTCCTGCAAAAGTATCCTGAGCATCTTTAAAATAAGATTAATTTACCTGAGAATCAAAACTGTGTTCAGATAGAAATATGAAAACTGAAAGTAAAAATAATAGATTGATTGATTGACTGCCTGACTTATATGCAGGTACTGTTGTTAACCTAATTCAGTTGATTAAGAGCAGGGAAGTGTCTGTTTGGCAAGATACTAGCAATGAATGACATTAATTCTGAAAGAAGCAGGGCATTAGGTTGGGGAAATACCTAATATGATGCATTATGTGCCGGGCATTGGCACCATATGATATCAATTAATGCTGTAAAAAGAGATACAAGCAGAGTCCCAGAGAGATTAATAGCTGTTGTTTGTGTCTGCAAGTCAGTGGAGATGATTATTACCGAAGTAAATCTCATCCTTCGGTGTCTTTGTAACTGAGGAACCTATGGGGATTTGTCTGGGCAAGAGGTAGGGGCCAAGCAATTTATTTCTACAATTCACCCAGCCTTCTGAGGGGACCACAATTATTTTCATTGCCCCTGTATGCCACACGCTCTTTGAGTCAACGCTTCCGGGGGTTGTTCTCGACATAATTACTGTCATATTCAGGAAAAACATACTGCCACTAGGCGGCGAGGAGTGGATATTGCATGACACACATTTTAACAGTACCACGCAGTTTGGAACAAATTGTTGAGACAGAATGTTCGTCGCGCGCGGTTGCTATGTCAACATACCTAATATATATATACTATAGTAGGCCTATATATAGTATATATACTATAGTAATAATATAGAAAAACGACTTAAATCGCTACTTTAAACTAACCAGAAATCAATTATTTAATTAATTTTTCTACTGATGCGAGCAAGAAAGTCACTGTAAAGCTAAAGTTACCATACTCGCAAAACTTGCCTTTCTAAGGAGTTTTCACAAGTCTTTTCTTTGCGTTTGGATGTCACTCTGTAGACTGATGGATGTTGTAGAGCTGCTTTTCTTTGTTTTCTGAGAAAATTAAACACAAACACACTGAACCGATCTAGCAGAGCTCTGCAGTACAGAAGCATTAAAGTCAGAATGATGTTAAATAACATAGAAGTAACAACAACCTGGACGTGGATTTTGATTTAATAATTGAGGGTTGCCCGGCATCTTGCCTCTGGGTCTTCACGGATTGCGAAGACATAATTTGTATCTCTTCTGAAGAGTGTTTAAGTGCCTCTTAATTTGTTGTCTGCTCAGTCTCGCTTTTCCGTTGTTATGGATCAACTGGGGATAGTGTTAACTGGGGGACGTGCGAGGGCACGCAAACCCGGCAGCTCTAATCAGAGGTTAAGACAACAGCACGCCGCGGCCTGCAGATCATCAAGCGTGTTTCCGTATCCCATCGCCCAGGAGCACAGAGCAAATCTAAGACGCTGACTCTCACACTCACCTTTAATAAGCCTAGACACTGCAGGAGGGAAAAACACATCCTGACATATATTTGATGGGGAATATGCCATCTTCAACAAATTAGATAGGTCACAACAAAGACGATATTTTGACTACAAAGTCTTGTTGTGTATTACTAAATGTAGATGTAGGGACGTACAAAAAGAGGATTGAAATAAATAAATCAAAACAACTAGAAACCCAGAAACTACAACTCAAGATAATTTATGCGTACATATTTATATAAAGAAACAGATTACATGTCACCATGCCAAACCAATGCCCTCATCATATTAAAAAAGGATATAATAACCACAAAATGAAAAGGGATTTTAAGAGACACTGACTGTAAGATCTACACATTTAATTAATAGTGAATTTGCAAATAAACTAAATTAAAAAAAGCCAGAATCTCTAACCTTATGAATTCCTCTGTATGTCGCGGCAGTCCTGAATAAGGGTCAATGCGTTGTACTTTTGTTCTCCACTTGTTCACATTCAGGCCGGCAATTTCTTTGAAGAATGCATTTCTCCAGTATCTCTTTGGCCTCTCCTGCACACCCACCACACCAAGATCACGTATCATCTGATCTTCTTGACTGGCTTTCTTCTTTTTGCTACGTTCGCGGATGTAAAACTGATACCACATAAAACTGCAAGGACATTGGGATGAGGAAATAATGATTTTGATTAATTTTTGAGCTTTGAGAGAAAGAAAAAAAAAAAAACCTCACTCACTTGTTGTTGGACAGTTCCTGGAAATGCTTGTTGACGAAACTAATACAGAAAAGAGACCCAGGATCCAAGTACGAGAGAATCCTGAGAATGATCTCTGGTGGCATCCTAGTTTAAGTCAGATTGATAGATAGATAGATAGATAGTATATAAATATATATAAAATATATATGAGTGTCAGTATAATGGTGGCATCGTGGCATTTTAATACTAAATGAATGAATAAATAAATACTATATATATATATATATATATATATATATATATATATAGTATTTATTTATTCATTCATTTGTAGTTATGGATCAACTGGGGATAGTGTTAACTGGGGGACGTGCGAGGGCACGCAAACAGTTTTACCTGAGTTTCCAGCAGATGTTGGACCTCCACAGATTCGTCACAGGGAATTTTCAACGGAACAGATTTCAAAGCTTTCTGCATTGTTTGTGAATATATCATTATTGGACTGTTGTTTCCCCTGTCGATGTTCAATATATCAGACGCCGTTTAAAGGAAGTCTTAATGCGTTTTCATGTCGCGTCTCACAGAATATGCCCAGATTATTTTTTGTTTAGGCTACATTCGTTTCAATGGATTTTTTTTCCCTAATGACAATTGTAAATGCATTAAATAAGGTTTTTACTTTGTTTCTTTGCAACGCGTGTGTAGGCAGTTGTTCAAAAAATATTCCTTAATTTGTGTCAATGTAATTTGAGCAGCAATTGCTGTGGTTAAAGGTACGTCAAGCATTCTCTTTCTTTTTTTTATACATATATTGCTAAAGAATTAGTGATAATCAAACTATAGTTTTGCATTAAGATGCAGTGAATTATCCCAAATAATTATTTAAGGGAATGTTCAACAAATAGGTGTTGAAGAAAAAAAAATACATAGCTTCGAAGCAGCTTTACATAAAATGCATGTTTCTTTTACTATAAAGAGAAATCTGCTATGTCAGAAATGACTCAATGTAATGTCCATATTGCAGAAATGTACAGTTTTATAATAGAGTTCTGTCAAGTCAAGTGAGGTCACCTCTATTTATATAGTGCTTTATACAATACTGATTGTGTCAAAGGAGCTTCACGGTGTTAAATACGGAAATAGTGTGTCAATAATGCAAACAAAATTCAATTCTGCTGTAAAGCAGCTCTAAAATGAGGATAGTCAACAGTCAATTTCTCAGTTAAAGTCAGTTCATGGTTGATTCAGTGATGTCATCCTCCAGCTCAGTTCAGTTGTGCCAATGACTGTCTAAGTAAAGAGGTCTTTGCAGGGGATCTGTCTCTAGGGCACATCTAGTTGACATGGTCTCCACTGACATTCATAGCTGTTGTGGTCGTCTCTAGGTGCTGATCCACGATCTGGTCTGGATACGGACTGGATCTGGTAAGTTAACATCATTCAGTTAAGCACAAACATGTTAAGGCAATGATTTACATATTGTAATCGTAATGATTACAATATAATGATAATTTTGCAGTTTTGTATGTTGATTCAGAGCTGGGATCATCTGAAGTCCTTGCAGGGGTTGATGTCATCTCTTCACAGGTGTTAGGGTCATCTAAAATCTTCAAAAAGGCTCAATCTAAATGTTAGTGAGGTTGTTACCACTGAAATGAAGATGACTGACATAATTCAAAGTTATATTACATATAAAGAGGCCCACACTCATTATTTATGAAGCTGACAGACTTTTGTGTCATATTTTTAGTTCAAGAAGTCTGCAATAAAGTAAATATTGAAGGTTTTCCTATTCTAATTAATGTTTGGGAGAGAGGTATCATATTCGTGTAAGATGCTAAATGAATATGAGGTTAGTGATGTATACTGTCTTTTGGAATATTAGCCATATATGTAATAATTCATCATCACAGTATCATATGTTCTGCCTATGTCAGTCATGAAAAAGTTGTGGCTGCTGAGTGATTGTCACAGGACTTTCATACAAAAGACAGTATGGAAACTAGAAAAACAACCTATGAGTCAGTAAGTAAGATCCTATAGCATGGTTCACTTTTAATAAACACCTGTCAAACACTTTGTCACCTTAAAAATGTAAACATGCCATACATGTGACATATTTTGCTCATACAAATTGTGGAAAAAATGCCTTCCTGTGTTCATCAAGAGATCTCAGATAATAAAATCAGCAGAGTAAAATCACACAAACTCAAGCCAAAGTAGCCCATCTCTGTTTTTTTCTTCATATATATATATATATATATATGCATGTATGTATGTAATCACTCAGAAAATAAATAATTTGATTAAGAACAATAGTAAACTACAGATCAATGAACAGGCTTGTCAATAAAAACATAAAGGACTTTGCAATTCATGTTTGCTTTAGGTAGCCTATACCACTAATTTTAACTTAATCTATATCTGTTAATTAGAACACATGACAGCTCAATACAGACACAATGTGATACAGTAATATTGCAAAGAAAATACATTTTTACTTCAGTTCGTTGAAGAGTTTGATCATCCATTGAAACGATTGTCCCATGTTAACTTGGGCGTGGTTTGTGAGCGTGACATGGGAGTATGGTAAACTTCCCTTACACAGCGTAAAATACGCAGGTACGGACACCGCGGAATCAAAACGCATTATTATGCATGATACCAATGTATACAACTGGTGAAACACGTTTTTTAATCTATGACTATGACCGGTGGAATATCGCAGTGACGAATCTGTCGCCGTCTAACGTCTGCTTGAAATTCAGGTAAATATACTTGCGTGCACGCGCACATCCACAGGGTGCACTGGCATCTCACAAAGTCTGGTTTATTTTAATGGGTACAGTCTAGTAAACTAGGTGTGGCATTAAACAGTTCAACGAAGAGTTATACCATGTTATTCCGAAGAAAAACTTTTTAAAAAGCATTGTTGCCACAACTACATTCTTCTACTAACAGGTGTTGTCACTATCTGGCGAATTTCCGCCACCAACAGGCCAGGAGCGGAAGTGTCGTTTTGAAACAACCTAATCGAGAAGTTTTCAAACTAGGATCTATGAACACCCTGAGAGCCGCATGGGGGTGCTAATGCTACGTGAACAATTCGAGAGTAACAGAATGCTGAATATGTTTTTCTTTTTATTCCTTGCAACATATATATGTTAGTTTTTTTTTCTAATTTATGCAGATTCACTTGTCTTTTTTCCCCATTAAATCCGATTTTGAATAATTTAGCCTTACATTACACAAGAGTTCAAACAGTTGTTAAAAACATAATAATCCACAAGTAATCCACATGACTCCAGTCCATAATGTCTTTAAAAAACATTTAAAAAGCTGCATATTTGTAAGTAATAAATCCATCATTAAGGTGTTGACTTAAACCGATGCTTCTGTCCAAAATATGAGTCCATAATATCACTTCCTCCAGTGAAAAATCCACCCCCTATTGTCCTCTCACATCAAAATCTTTTTTCGCTTGTAAACAATGCTTGATCTGTGCATATTTCTCTCCTGATTCAGACGAGAAACAACTTTCTCCCTGGAGACAGCAACATTATGGATGAAGGACTAATTTACCCGGATTTCATCCAAATCTTGGATTTCCTTAGGGTGAGTAAATGTTCAGCAAATTTTCATTTTTGATTGGTATTCCTTGTGAAATACATTGGATGAGATTTTAATAAAGTAAAAAATAGCAAAGGGAAGGTTTTTTTTTTTTTTTTTTGGTGGTCTAGGCGATCTCAAGAGTGATGATGGTCTGCTGCCTGTCAGATGAAATAGTCATAACATTCACAATAATGTACGCATTCTCTTGGTTGGGGAGAGCTCTTCTCTGTGGGCTTAAACGGCTCTGGGCCCTGTGATACACAGGTCCTGATGGCCACCCAGCTTGACATTTGATGTTTCCTTTCTTTTCCTCGCCCTTCTGCAGGCCCTAGGTCAGCCGCTGCTCTCGGATACTCAACGTCAACCTCCACAGAGCCTGTCACTCTGCACCCACAGTGCGATTCTTGTCAAAAAAGGTGCATGGAGAGCCTGTGAGGATGGATGATGTTGACTATGACTGGAATATGCATGATCTTTCATCTAACTTAACCTAACTGTTGCAGGTGAAGTTTACTTGGAATCGATTTTAAAACCATTATTCTGGCTATTTATATTGGCAAATGTGTTAATAAAATATGGTCAGGATAGTATTTGCTGTTATTTGCAGTCTCTCAAGTATCCTAAAAGACAAGAATACCATATTGTGAAGTGCCTATTATACTTCAAATTTAATAAAGACACTGAGTCATTCCATTATAAATTAAAGCAGTATACCCATTTCACTCTTTAGAAGGCGCCAGCCACGATTGTCTTGCATGATATTTCCAATTAGCAACTTTGAAGAGTGAGGGAAACTATGAATTAGGGAGGTTAAGAATGGTTCAGTGGACATAACACATACTGAGTAGACCTGTCAAACCCAGAATCACACTTTATACACTTTACAGCAGCTCCGGAGCTTCTCTGAAAAGCTTTTTAATAGGTAGAAAGTTCAAAACTGATTACTTATTGCACGTTTTATTTTTCCTAATGAGGTTATATTGTGATGATTCTCAGATAACACCTTTGTTTAAATCAATTTAACGTCAGTGTAGTTTCTGTCATTTTTATTTGTTTTTAAGAGTTTATTTTTAATTTTCTTCATCAGTAATGAAGTTCAAAGTTATTGAAGAATGCAACTAATGTATTGCACATGTTGTAACTCTGGTACCACTTTGATTTTACTTAGACAATTAAGGTAAGAATTAAACTCAACTATTTTTTTTTTATTTGTTTATTTTATTTATTATTTTTGGAAATAAGTATTATCTGCAAGTATTTTTTAAGATTTAATTAAAAACACATGTATGTTAATACAAGAAGTTGCTCTACTGTATACACTCTTAAAAATAAAGGTTCTTTATTGGCATATATGGCTTCATGAAAAACTTTTAACATCCATTTCACAAAAGGTTATAGCAGAAAATGGTTCTTTAGTTGTTGTTGTTTTTTTAATGTTCTTCACACTAAGAAAAATTTGTTAAATCCTTAAGTAACACTTTTCAATAAGGTTCCACGAACAATATTTAACTACAACAAAGTAAAATTCTTC